GTGTGTGCGTGTACATACCTCAAATGTATATCGTGACATTCTACAGTGTTCAATAAACTGTACATCGGTATATCGAGGAATTGTTACTTCGAAGTAATCTTCGTTTCGTGGCCTTGCATTTCGCCTTCTATTTTCCAGGTTATATGGCACTTGATGGCCTAAATCTTGTACCACATTATCTATTATATCGTTTAAATTTAAACCATCATCCATCGCAATTAATAATATAGCATCCATCATTTAAATATTTATATTTTACAGTATACTTGGAAATCTTATTAAAACAAACACAGTTTTTTCTATTATAATATATCGCTGTGATCGCAGCCATCTTGGCGGTAGCACCATACACAAAAAGTGCGTTCAGCAGAACCAGTAAGCTGCTGGGAGCATAGCGTAAAACGCTCACTGAGCGATTTTCTCTGCTGAACGCGACCAATGTGTAGCGCGAATCCGAAGATTCGTTGGAGGAATAGGAGTTGAAAGATTACTTGCGTGAGTGTAGTTTTAAGAACGTTTATTAGGAAACACCGGGAGCGAGCCTCATGTCCCACGACTAAGATCGGAAATCTTCTGAAAATATGATGCGATCGTGAGCGAGACACTTCGGTTTGAAATTGAATAGAACGCAAAGTTGACAATGAGTAGCGCGACACGACACGAACGAGATTACGACACGAGAGAATATCATACGAGAGTATCGATTAAATTCAACGTTTCAATCTTGAACATACCGCCCGCCTTAACGATAGTTCCGAAATAATTTATACGGCAGTATCATTGAATGACAAGAGCACACGCCGCAATTAACGATATAAGAAAGAATGACTTTTTTTTTCGATACGATTTAACTCCGCGAATCTGCCCCCTGCTTTGGCGGAATGACGCTCGCCTCTTGACAATTTTGTGCGTAAGTCTAATGAATTACAATCAATGAAACGCAACGCAGCGAAGGTGCCTAATTGCTCGTCGCCTCACTACTTGACCGGTAATACCCACAGTTTAACAATCGGTCTTTTGAATTCGGAGGTGGCTGTCTTGACGGTGACGACCCGTACGAAGCCGTCGGACCCGGGATGACAACGCGTTACTCGGCCGAGTTCCCATTTGCAGGGAAGAAGTGTCGGATTTCGCAGGAGAACGAGTTGTCCGGTATCGATCTGCGGTTTGACCTTTCGCCATTTTGCTCGTTGTTGCAACGTGTTTAAATAATCATTGCTCCATAATTTCCAAAATCGTTCAGTGACATGTCGGACTAATTGCCACCTCGACAAGCGATTTTCGTTGAGATCGAGCAATGATGGTTCCGGGTTTACAGTAAGCGCTGATCCGATTAAGAA